AATTAATAATAATAATAATAATAATAATAATAATAATAATAATAATGTTGAGGATGAAAATAGTAATGATGACAATAATAATAATTGTCTGTTCGTCAATGTCCGACTATGACCAATGCACCAGCAAAGAATGTCTCTTAAAGCGAAACAAAGAAAGTAAGGGTTAAGACGACAAGGAGTTTCTGCAGTGGACAATGAGATCAATTCTAGCAGAGAAGTGTTTACCACACTTTGAATATTTATAAACTCTATTTCCACTTCTGGATGTGCTCTGATTGTGGACTTGTCTCTAAACTTGATCATTTTTATATGAACTGACCCTCTGCCAGGTTCCAGGTCGGAATTCTGTTGTGTCTACTGTCCAGATCTGGGATTCTGTCTGCAGCTGTCCGATGAGACGGTTATCCTTGTAGTAAAGCTTCATGGGCCAAGAGTCAAAGAAGGTCATGCCGTTCTGTAACACCATGGGGCGAACACCCAGTCTAAGGGTGGCTCCCTGGCGACAGGTGTCCAAGTCACCTGGGGAAATGAGAGGGGGGAGAGAAAAGAGAGTAGGAATTATTCAAACTGAGGGCAGCAGAATGTAGTGTGTAGAGATTCAGCTCCATCAGGAATAGCCTCACATCTGGCCAGGTATTAGAGCGCTCATCAGCCACCACCAGCAATGAAATTGGAGTTGAAATTTCAGAACAGAGTCCATTTTCTTGAATAAGTCTACAACCACCATTACTTATGGAAGAAGGGTAAAGTACTTTCAAGTGGGTAGGTAGTACAATGGAAATATTCTTCTGTCCAATCAACTTGGGTGGTTTATGGTTCCTTCACTGTTGGCTTGCCATTTGCATGCCACATCCTATCTGATGTGGGATGGAATCTCTCTGTGTCCATAATGTCCTATTTATCCACCTCCCTTTTGAGCCAGTCTGTAAGACACTAATGACCAGCATAATAATAGGTGTGTATGGTGAGGGTTTTAACATTAACAACCCTTTACTTTAAACATTTCCAATGGGGAAATCAACGCCTGAAAAGAGCCTGATTTGAGACTAGTACGACTTCATAAACATATTTTTTAGAAATCCAAACAAGAAAACTACGGCTTAGCTGAAACTTAAGTCCACAACTTACCTCCGCAGGTAAAGTTGGCGCCCAAATCCAGATAACCAGTGGTGCCAACAAGGTAGATGGCACGAGTGTTAGCTCCCTTGCCCTGTGTCAGCCGGATTTCTCCATGACCACGGATCTCTCGGTCACGGATGCGAAGACGGTTGTCACGGAAGTCGTCAAAGGTGATGGAGCGAGGTACCACTTGAACTGTGCAGCATTAAAAAGAAATAGTCACATGAATGATAAATATAGCGAGCAAGGCTTTTGTGTCCAAATGAATCGATTGACAGAAATGAATCAAAGTGTCACAAACCAATTCTTTGGATGCCCCAAAGGCAAAGAATTCGTTTGAGCCCAGTCGTGTCCACTTCGTACCCTCCTCTTGAAAAAAAAAGTGAAAATTTAAACAGGCTGTTTACCAAAACAATAATTTAATCTACAATTTCCTGCTCCGTTTTCATCCTGGTATAGAAAGCTGTGGTGAAACGACATATACCACACACAGCTATTTGAATGACGATGTATTTTTACGCTTGTTTCAGGACAATACTGATTACTTTCAGGAGGGAAACAAACAACAGGAAGCCCATGAAACGATAGGATAGGCTAATTTGGCGTTTGGGGAAAATATTTTGATCCTATCCTCTAGCCAAATCCAAATCATGTAGCAGAAATGAATCATTGTACAAATGTCATCCTGAACAAGTAAACATAGATAACCTCCTACTAGGCTTAGCTGATGCTTTGTGTGTGTGTGTGGGGGGGGGGGGGGTGCGCATGCGTATGTGTCAGTACGTGTTTGCAGGTGAGTGTGTGTGTGTGTGTGTGTCTGTGTGTGTGTGTCTTTGTGTGGGTGAGAAAAAAAAAGAGAGAGAGAGAGAGAGAGAGAGAGAGAGAGAGAGAGAGAGAGAGAGAGTATGTGTATACTTGTTTGCATATGTGTGATGTGTGAATACGTGTATGTGTATACATCAGCATTGCCTGTGTGTACTCGCATGTGCTTGTGTATGAGTATATCATATGTTTTGCCGCTTACTTTGATTTATCTTGGTTAATATAACCAAAAGCTGAACCAAAGACATCTACTTTTACATTGATGAACCAAATCCCAGACACAGACTCGTGCAAACTTAACAAATCTAAATAATCTCTGAAATGTATCAAAAACTTTCCTTTTTTTTTTTTACAACAAATCGAAAATGAATACAGACATCTTGAAAAGAAAAGAGCCTTCAATTACAAGAATTTTGAAGTTATGTTGCAATGCATTCCGCATCTCAAGGGACAAAAATGTTACAATCTGCTAACATCCTGCAATAATTAAAGCATACAATAATAAATAAAAAGAACTAAGGTTACGCAACATTGAGTTAAAGTGACCATGCAAGTTTGACTCTTTTAAGCAGGCATCAACAATGCAAACGCAGACAAAAGATAAGGCTTGAAGACAAGGGAGCTTGAAGCACTGAAAGAAAGGGGAATAGCGGAGCAGACTTCGCCACCTCATTGTTGAGGCTATTACACTAACAATACGTAATGTTTAACAGTTTTAAAAAATATAGGACCTTTTAGGTTAGTCAAAAGAAGTAAAATATCCTGAACATTTTCAGGTTCTATATATAGCCCCTCCGAAAAGATGAGGAGGTCAGAGGCAAACTTGATGGTTTATGTAGTCCGGACCTACCCTGACCTACTCAGGAACCACGCCATGACTCACCTCTGTACTGGCCAGTAGCGCGCAACTGGTCCAGGTCATCGTACCACACCTGGAGCTCATCAGCCAACATGTTGGCCTGGGTACGGTCAGAGACGAGGTTCCTGCCTAAGTAGACATGCTCAGAGTAGGGTCTGGCCCTGGTGACACCCTGTGTTCCTCTCCTGTCCTGATCAACAAGTTCGTCATTGATGTACATGGTCAAGCCTTTCTTGGGGTGCCAGGCCATTGTGATCCTCTGCCACTCATCTCTTCTCAACCGAGTGGTGGACGTTCTCCAAGCCGTCGTTTCTCCTTGGAACTCAGAATTCAGCCGCCCGTCTTGGTAGAATAGGTTATAGGTGGGCGTCGACAAAAAGGTCGTCCCGTCACGCAAGTCGCGAGGGTTGAGCCACAGAGACAGTGTCAAGCCATGCGCGCAGAGATCCAGGTTACCGAAGCAACGGTTATAGTGCTCGCCCAGGTCCACGTACTGACCACGTCCATCCAGAAGGACAGCGTTACCAAAGCGTCCAGGGATGATAGAGGCTCCGTTGACCAGCAGAACTACGTACTTGGTGTGGGCCACGCGCCGGCCGTCCGCGGTGTCAAAGGCAAAAGCCTCGTAGCCCAAGTTGTCTGTAAGGGGTCAAAGGTTAGAGAGAGGTAGCTAGAGAACACGAACATAGCGATGCAGAAGATGGTTATGCACATTGATGATGACGATGCATATGAAACGATGAATGCAGAAACATAATTTTATCAGCCATGATGCATGAAAAAACAGAAAAGGGGAGACATACGACTATATTTTTTTAAAAAGAGAAGTATATTATATTATGTACAAACAAAAAATGATTGATGCAGTGCGTAGAGCAAACTGTGATTGAAGCAAAATACTAACTCATGACAAAAGACTTTAAAAAAAGGAAAAAATGCATTCCTAGGCATTTCAGAAAGGGACTGACGAGAAGTACTACTTCAAGGCAAATTCATTTTCAAAAATAAACATAAAGAGAGCACGCCTGTCGGTTTTCTACATTAGGTCAATAGATACATAATATTAACCAAGAAAATCTTCATAATAATCCACGCGAAATTAGTACCAATATTCGAGTAATCCTCAAAGTATGTTGCTGAGCCAATAGGAGCTTTCAAAGTTCGTTGTACATGTACTGTTTTATTTTTCGTCGGTCAGAATTACAGAGCTTCCTAACGGGGCAAGCCAAATTACCAGAAGCTACCTTCCTTAAAAGCATAGGCGACTAGTTGTGAAAAATTAAAACTCTTAAACACAATAACATTGTCCTCAGTTAAGGAGCAAAGCATAATATGATAGTCCATATAATACTGATGCCACGGTCATTCTTGACTGAATAAATTACAATTATTTTCACACAAATAGGTTTGAATAAAACTCTTTTTGTGGCAATTTATATCAAAGATACGTTATCTAAAACTGTATAGGCCTACAACCTACTTAAGAAACAAACAAGATTCTTATATAACAAGAATGCTGAAATGTTCCTTTTAAAGAGGAAGAAATACAATTTTTTGTAGGCTATGCAAACAATATACTCGATTATGAAAAGTCAGTGTTAGGTATGCCTACTTATGAAAGGGTAGGCTACACTTGTATAGTTCAAGTTTTTCTGGATCTAGAAGTATCTATTTGTTAGCTCTTCTATCGGCACTAATTGTTAGAGAATACAAATATGAACTAAACAGTTAGTTTTCACAGGGTTAGTGAAGAACTAAAAGTGAGTAACTAAAGCAGTATCGCTAATCACATTAAAACATGATGATGCCACAAGAAGAGAAAAATCAAAAGAAACAAAAAGGGATGTTACAGTACAGAACACCACCCAAAAGTCCTTTTCTCTCCAAATCTACGCTAGACAGAAACGGTGAAGTTTTAAAGAATGAATAAGGCAATCAAGTAAGAACAAAGAGTGGAACGCGTTGGTTGAACGGACTTGTGACAGAAAACAAAGCATTGATAAACAACAAAGTGCATATGCGTGCATGTATGTGTGAGTGAGTGTGTGTGTGTGTGTGTGTGTGTGTGTGTGTGTGTGTGTGTGTGTGTGTGTGTGTCTGTGTCTGTGTGTGTGTGCATGTGTGGGTGAGGGGGATGTATGTGTTGAAATAAAGAGAGAGAGAGAAAGAGAGAAAGAGAGAGAGAGAGATGGGGGGGGGGGGGGGGAGGGGAGAGAAGAGAGAGAGAAAGAGAGGGGGGGGGGAAGCATTAAGCAAAATTTTGTTAAAAAGAAATTTAAGAAACACTGAGTGTGAGATTAAGAACAAGAAATGACAACATTAGCATTCTGAACTGTGAACTGGGGTAAGCAAAGTGGCAGGTCAATTGCTAAGTGATTCGACAAAAAAAAGCGAAAAAGAAGAAAGACCTTTAAGCATGAGCTGCCAAATCATTGCTAGAGTTTGAAGTAAAAAGAACAACCCCAAAAAACAAAAAAACAAAAAACAACCCCAAAACCACCAACCAGCTTATTAACTGATTTGTTTAAAGTCACCTCTACAATGTTCGATTTGTACAATTACCAAAAACCAATGAAGGACGCTGCCAAAAACTTTTTTTTCTTAAAAGCAAAATGAAGCACAAAAAAAAAAAAAAGCCCTCACTATTAGCACTAGCTCTACAGCAAAGACGAAAGTCTGCTGCTTCGGTGAGAAGAAATAAAAAACAAAAGATTTTAAGCTCTACTATCAGCAAATAGACCTATCTATCTAACATCATAGGCTACCTAGAAGTCTGTCGCAGTCTTACCTCCCTGTTCATGTACCCATTAATTAATTAATCAGTGAGTAATTCGAGCTGGTAAATTTGACAAGCTTTCGTCTCATAATTTGGTAAGAATCATTTTAACAAATTCAAACGCAAGGGCAACGATACGTCGTCCAAATAACCAATTACAACGCCAGGTACCCACAGAGACAATCTCACGGCCGCCAACAGATTGTGAACGTTGAATTTGTCAGTCCTTTCTACAAACCTATCGCAGTGACTAAATAGGACTTTTACATTTTCACTCAAAAATGTTCTAACGATACGTCAGTGACCAGAAAACTATTTAATTTTGGCAGTTCGTCACCTTTACTCGTAGATGAAATATTTCTCCATTCTCAATGTGCAAGCACATTTATTAATCAGACTTCATGGACTGCATTAAGTAACAATTAATGTATCATCTACATTTGGGGTAGGCCTAGGCCCTATTTTTCCGTTATTTTCTAAGGGGTTCTTCTAGCCAGCACAATAAGCGAGTTACCAACAAAGCGATTGGAAAGGAACTATTCTATAACAATTAACAGGGAAATATAATTGTTAAGTACACGGACTGTTAAAGAATTGTTATTAAAGTTGATGATAATGATAATTATAATAAAAATTACAATAACGACATTGATTTTTAAAAAAACGTCATAAGGTTAGAAACAACAGTCAGTGGCTCTTGGGAAACGAAATGAGAAGGAAACTTTACTCACGCCGCCAACCTGCAGTGGAGAATGACATGGGAGAGAACGGGAAATGCACATCAACGCAAACGTTAATCACCACACTCAAACTCAAGAATAATAACAATAATACGTTTTTAAAATATCACAAGCAACGAGGGAGACACGGTTTGCTGCTCAGTTACACCGAGGATGCCTACCGAATGGGAAAAGAAAATTCAATATATTATAAGCTTATATAGTGACAGAACCAACATTAAAGGCTACTTTATAAAAGAGTAGTTAAGTCATGGGAAACTGGACACTGAAAACCTTCAGAAAAAAATGTTAAATAAAACTTTTATATGAAGACTGTATTGAGAAAAAAATCTTTCCATACCCCCTCCCCCCCCCCCCCCCCCCCACAAAAAAAATTTATTAAAAAATGAAAAATTATAAACTTGGAAAGCCAGTAATTACAAAAAGAAAGTATTCACAAAACTGCAGCCTATTGATCAACTTATACAACTGTTCCCCACATGAGGAACCTAAAATACGAGACACATCGAGAAGCAAGTAGCCTACTGCTTGAACACGTATCATGTTGCAGTTGTTTGAGAACATTTCAGTCTATCCTTCTGGAGACTACTTTCCACCAGTGGCAGGAAGATTTAGAAACCGCAGGAGAAGACGTATATAAACCCATAACAGCAAACAAAAAGTACCTCATCCAAAATGTAAGGACAAAGAGAGACGAGAATAATGATATTATACAAAACCATGATTATTGAAATGCCACAAGCTTGAACTCAGAGCATGGGCGAAAGATATAATCGTGTTATTTCCTGAAACTGAAAACCTTGAAAAATTGCAACTTCATGCTCTTGTTATCAGACAGCATTCAAGTACATAGCATAAGTGACATGACCAAAACAATGCATGTTATGAAATGTTATGAAACAAACAAAAAATCAAACTGAAAGCAGTCCATAACAAAAAACAAAATCATGCTTCACATCCGAGAAAAAATTTCAATAATGTTAAGGAGGAGGAGGTAGGAGGAGAGGGAGGAAGAGAGAGAGGAGGGAGGAGGAGGAGGGAGGGTGTGAGGGAGGCAGAGGGCGAGGAGGAGGAGGAGGAGGAGGAGGAGGAGGAGGAGGAGGAGGAGGAGGAGGAGGAAGAGGAGGAGGAGGAGGAGAAGAAGAGGAAGAAGAAGAAGAAGAAGAAGAAGAAGAAGAAGAAGAAGAAGAAGAAGAAGAAGAAGAAGAAGAAGGAGAAGGAGAAGGAGAAGGAGAAGGAGAAGGAGAAGAAGAAGAAGAAGACGAAGAAGAAGAAGAAGAAGAAGAAGAAGAAGAAGAAGAAGAAGAAGAAGAAGAAGAAGAAGAAGAAGAAGAAGAAGAAGAAGAAGAAGAAGGAGAAGGAGAAGGAGAAGGAGAAGGAGAAGGAGAAGAAGAAGAAGAAGAAGAAGAAGAAGAAGAAGAAGAAGAAGAAGAAGAAGAAGAAGAAGAAGAAGAAGAAGAAGAAGAAGAAGAAGAGGAATAGAAATAAGAATAAAGATGAAGGTGATAACAATAATAGTCAATGATCGGCAAAATTCAAATGTCAAGTCTCATCCACGACAGCTGTTGTGACTCAAGTCCATGAACTCAAAAGTCATCCAGAATCAGGCACATGCCAAGCTGACGTTATTCCTCAAAGATGCAACAAGGGGGACGAGTTAAAAGAGTCATTGATGGAGGATGAATAAAACATGAGCAGATTAACAAAAAAAACGAAAGGGAATCCAGAAGAGCTTACTTGTATGAGAATAATTGTAACCGGCTGTTTGAAAATGAGTGATGAGAGAGAAAAAGACAAATGAATACTGATGGAAAAACAATGATACATATACATGTCATGTAAATATAACAGACATACGGAAGCCTATTAATACAGTCATGGCTAGATACAAAGTAGTCATATTAGAAGTGAGCAGTGGTACAGGTGAAAGCTGGTTTACAACAGATAATATGAGAATTATTACATTTTCTTCATCAGCAGATTACTGTGCTAAAATATGAATGACAAAGACATGAACGACTGCTCATATCAAAGGCACTGACAAGTATGAAGGGAAAGCAAAACTAGTGTACAGACAGTGATGTTTCTCTTGCTATTTATCTACAGATACTGCAGGCAGCAACATAGTGTGATTAATGGTAAATATACTTTGAGCTAACCAGTGACACTATTATGTGGTCATTTTTGCACAGTTAAATGGGAATTTCCTCCAGTCACAAAGATAATATAAGGTTTTGATTACTGTCGAAAAGTTTTGACAAAACCAATTTTTAGTATCAACCGACAGACCAATATTAATCAATTTCCCATTGTATTAGTCATAGATTATATTTTGATGACCATAAGACACAAACAGTAAAAGGATCTACTATAAAGAATCTCTTGCTTTTGCCATAATTTCCACTGTCCTCATACACACACATGTATATTATACAGTAGTTCTAGCCCGAACAATTTATGACAAAGTCAAAGAATACTACATTAGCACCACTCTATACTCGATAGACTGGAAAAGCCTGGAAAAGACTAGAATTGATCTGTATGGAACTTCCCTAGCCAAGGTGATCTGACAAAAACTGAATTGAAACACCTTTCATAGTACATAATGTTCTAGTGAAATGCGGTCTGACATACAGCAACAGACAAAAATACCAAGCTGAATGAAAATGTGACCAACCAGGGAAAGACGGCGTACTATAGTCAACAAACATTGATTAAGTTTTCATCAGCTACTTGAAGGTCAAAGAAGAAAAAGAGTGAGGAATCAAAAAAGATTATTTATCCTTATTTTCTGCAGTAGAAGTGACATTTATACTATTGCCAAAACACACTGCTGAAATGAAAATTTGGACAACTGTCAATAGGGCATGAAGAGACCAGAAGAAAAATTTTTAGAATATGCACTGTAGTCTACTCCACAACTCCAGTACACCACTTTAAAGCCACGACATTTTTGTGCCACTATTTCAAGGAAAAAAATAGAGAACAAGAAATAATAGAATTCTTCTCGTACACTTTCTACTACATTCAAACAAAGCCCCTTTTTAGTGTCTCCTTTCAAGGGTACCTCTAGCTTGCTACAAACCATGAAGCTATCTGTACTGATATGAGAATACAGGTGTAACATGATGGCTATGATATGTTCAAGGATATGGGAATTTTACCCCAGCACGTGAAAAAGGCTGAAAGTAAACAGCAGCATGTAGCACACCCATTGTTTCATCTGGAAGTTACTGCTGTGGACTTCATACATCAGGACATTTTAGAAAACAAACTATGGCTTCACATCACTTGTCCTCATGATATGTTCTCACATAACTTGAAGGTTAATAGATCAAGCGCTGTAAAAATAATGCCAATGCAAGCATAGCAAGTATAATATGTACAACATCAATTTTATTCCTGCATAAACTCATAAGATCATATAATATTTTCAAAAACCAAGTAACTGTCTTATACATTATAAGTACAACATTTCATAAAATCAAAATAGACGGATGTTCATACTTTCTTCAGGTTACCTACACATGAACATTGCATGAACTCAACCTACCTCTGTTGATGTATCCAAAAGCCATCAAATCTTCACGCTTGCCGTACCAGATTTCCATTTCATCCACATCAAAATGACCAGTCGAGAAACGTCCAGAAGGCACGTCTCCTGTTGACAACAGAGTAAAAAATATAAATAGATTTGTATTATAGATTATGAGAAATATTATACATTAGACATATTAAGGATCTTTACATAAAATTACATAATTATTTCAAAATCATGAAGCTGCAATTTGTTGTTTTGTTCAAAACTGAGACAAAAAGATGTCATACTTTGTGGTTCGTCTAAAATTGAAATGTACTACTACAATCAAAGAGAAGAAAAGAAAAGTTTATGATCAGAGCCGGGACAGAGTCTCTCAAAAACATTAAAGCACAGTAAAGATGAAATACATTACTAAAGAAGAATATGCAGCAGTTTTGAGCAGGATTTTCAGGTAAAGGTAACAATTGAATCACTTGAATAATTATTGAAAATGAAAGGGTGTGAAGTATATATAATCCTTTATATCCTTTTTTTCTCTTGGATCTTCAGCTAAATGGCGAAAGAGAATGACCAGATAAACCAAACAGACTCCTCTGTAATAATATTTTACATTTTTTAAAGCAGTTCAACAGTAATTACCGTATGGTTTCAGAAGGGAAGTTAGCCTTCTATAGTGAATTTTCAAGCACTTTACTAGAAAACCAATACATCAACGCTGAATGCAAAAGATATTTTAAGATGAGCAAGAATATAGAGACATCTATGCATAATAAAGATATTTATGAAATTATGTTTAAGTGAGATTACATATTTTATTTGTCTTAGGAAGAAGTTTACAAGTTGCATGGAGAGTGAAAGAGAAAGAGAAACTGATTGAGACATGGGGGGGGGGGGAATGAGAAGCCAGAGGGGGGGAATGAGAAGCCAGAGAGGGGGAAAAAAAGAGAAAGAGATAAAGGGTAAGTACTTGAAATATTCACTACTGTAATAGGATCCATTTCTTGTTTGGTAATTTCGGAAGTCCTTAATATTTATCATCACAATTTACCTTGGTTGGGATTTCCAATGTAGAAGCTGCTCCTTCCACCTCTTTGAGGTGCCACATAGTCTTTATTAGATTGACCTTTCAGCTCATTGTCCACAAAGACCTTGAGCCCTGTCTCTGGGTGCCAAGTCAACTCCACAAAATACCAGCGGTTTGTGGCAAACCTAGGGAGTTATAAGAAAAGTCTCACAGCTTTTTATAGATAAATAATATAACTATTGTGTATTCATGCCTATCTCACATTCATTCTATTCATTAATTTGCATATGCAATTCAGAGACAAAGCAAAGCTGAAGCTTGTATCTTTTATTTCTAAGAAAGTTGCAAGTTGGACTAATTCCTAATAAAAATTACAGGTTTGATCATTACTAAAATATCTTAAGAAACAGATTTCTTCTACATCAAATCAATGCAATACTAACCAAAAAGAAAGTTTTTAAAGAACTGATTAAATAGGAATATTCTAAACAAAGCTCAATCTAATCAATGGAAAAAAAAACTATTTAAAAACATCAAAATGCATTTCACACTTTATCCTTTTGTTAAATTGATGTAGTTGAACCTTTGTCAACATACTGAACAAAATCTTACGTATGTAATTTTCGCTGTCTTTTTTTTCATTATGTTTGAAGGCACCACTACTAGGACCTACTTCTATATTATACTATCACTCTGTTGTTTCAGTTTCTCTATCTAGCTTTTCCCAACAACAAATGACTATCGTAAGTCAAAGCGCTCCTCTTTGACCTTGATAAAGTGACTGTACCCTAGAGGTCAGCCTGACTACAACAGAAAAGGGAAATGAAGTGAAATGAACTTACCATTAACCATTAAAAATTGTCTCACCTTGGAAGAGTAACAAAACCCCGGCCAGCAACACTGATCTGAATATAGCCATCCTTGTACATCATGAGGATGCCATTCTCCCCAGTGGACAGGTAGACCATATTGTTCTCAAAGCGATGGAACCTCATCCAAGAGGCGATGGTGATGCCCTGGGAGCAGCGTGTGAGGTCACTCATACACTCTCCGGTCCGGAACCCGAGGTCTGCATACTGGCCGCGTCCACTCAATTCCAAAGCATTGTTCACCTGGGGAGAGAAAAATCACCAGACAACTCATATGACATGAAGCACCAAGACACAAGGTTTGCTTGCTTAGGCCTATTTGTTTGTTTAATGAAAGTGAAGCACATCAACACGACAATTATAATTTAGTATAAATAGCTAGGAACAGAGAAAAGAGGTAGTCATACTGAAACCACCTGTACAGAGGGTGGTGGGACCAGAAAATACTATAAATATACACATGCGAGGAGTTATTAAATGTGAAAGCAAACATGACAATAAGCCTGTCAGCAGTAGTTTGGGAGACGTATGTTATGTCTTTTCACTTACACAACACTACTGATCTTTGGGTTTTTTAAATACTGATAGAAGAAAGACATTTTCACTGTGAATGAAAATTAAAGATACATGGAGTGTAATTTCTATTACAAACTATTTTATATGTCATTTTAAGAACAAAATATGTGTCTCCCCTTTCATTATTGCCTCCTCCACAACTGCTTAATGAAAAACAGTCCCTTTTCCTTGTTTAATGAGTTCCAGTCAAACTGGACAATACAACACTGTTCTTTTCATATTGGGGACAAGCTTCCATGAACCCAGAGGGAAATAACAACCTTACACTATGAACTTGTAAATAATAAAGAATGACACTATGTTACAATGTTAGACAATCACAAACCTTTCCGGGGATCAGCACAGGGCGTCCAATAAGCCTGATGTTAAGCTTAGGGTGTCGAAGTCGGTCCTCACCAACCAGCTCCTCAAAGTCAATGATGTAGCTTTGGGGGCGATCTGAAATAGACAGAACATTCCAAATATTAGTAATGTATCAGTTGGTGCAATAGGTCTCCAGGATGTTCTTATCCAGTTTTGGTTAAAAGCAGGAAAGAACAACTTTTTCCCTTCTCCTGATAGAAATTCAGTTCTTAACAAGTCCAAAATATTGGCTATTTCAAGTCAAAATGACATATCCTGTTCCAATACTAATCCAAAGAAATATTTTAATGTTTTTTAAGACGTACATCTTTTCCAATCAAACTTACAAACTGTGAGGAGAAAAAATATGCCAGGAATGAAAAGGCGCTTTGAACTTTCTCACAAACACCATGTACATTATCATCATAATAAAGACATTCTTATAAACTGAATAAAACACATGAAAGCTATTAATATCATGAGTAAAAACTAATGGAGATAAAAAAAAGTACACAACGTATAGACTCACATTCCCTATCATAAATATACTTTGAATGCTATACAAGCTACAATTACCAAGATAAAATTCTCTATAAAAAAAATAGATTAAAAAAAACACCAAAAAAAGAAAACAAAAAACCCCACTAAGGTCTATGCAATCTCCAAATATTTTCAAAACTTACTTGAGAAAAAGACAAAACAAAACAGAAAACAAAACACAAACCTCTCTGAATATGACCATGTGCCATTAGGAAGTCCCTGTCAGCGTACCACATGTCCATCTCGTCATATGTAGCCTCAGCGTATCTGGCATCTCTCATCAATTCACTGCCACGTCCCAGGTAGAATCTGATGACGATGCAAATCAAATTGAATATAATAATCTCATTCTGTTCTTGCGTATAACAAAAGGAAAGTCATTGGACACATAAAGTCTAACCAAAATAGTTCACTGTAATATTGAAAAGAAACGATATGCAAAAAGTCTCCAGATAACTCACTTTGTATGTTTTATTACAAAAAACAACCAAAAAAAAAGAACTCACACAGCACCTTGAACCTTGTTACACAATTACATGCCTGAAATCAGTCCTGATCATATAAAAAACAGGAAGAATGATGTAAAATCATAATACAAATAACAGCGAAAAGCACACATTGTAAAAGATGCTCTGTGCTTCAAGGGGCTATGACCTTTGGAAGTGCTGAAAGTAAGAATCTAAGCAGGCTCCAATTTTTTTAAAATTTTTAAGAAATACTTTTCATTCACACCTGGTTCTCAACAAGGCAGCAAAAAGCTCAGTCTAGAAACTGCCCATATTTAGTCTATTAGCAGTAGTGAGCAAATTCTTTCAACAAAAAATCAAGATAAAAGTTTACATCACAATATTGTCACTGTACTAACAAAATGACATAACTCAGAGTTGCGTCAAAATGCAACTCGCCTTTTATATTGTTTGGGGGCATTATATCTATCTTCAGGTAACTTTTTTTTTATGCGCTAGCAGGCACAAAAGAAACATGTACGGCAAGTTTTACCATTAGTAAATGATAGTTAGTCTTGTAAAACAGTTTTTTCCAACTTATCTCTAATGAAGCAAAAATGTGCCTTTTTGCTAGCGCAGTGACAATATTCACTGTATCTCATACCTCGTTTGTACAATACACACATTTTCCTCTGTCAAAACCAAAAAGAGAAGAAAGAGGACAAAAATTCTGTGACACTGTGAGCCTTACCGGCTTCTCTGTGAGGAGCCTGAGGGTTGAGAGTCCCTTCTGGATGATTCTTTGTCCTCTGCCACCAGTTCGTTGTTGATATAAAGGCTCAGCCCTCGGACAGGATGATATGACACTTCAACAAAGTACCAGCGGCCGGCCTCTACCTTTGAGGTAGTCGTCATCCATTTCCTTGAAGAAGTCTCAGCTTCTGCTTGCAGCATGCCTCCACTGATGAATGTATATTTCATCATTAGAAATAGCATATATCACCAGCACAATCCTTTAATTAAAATTCTGCCTAAGAAATAATGTTACAAGTGTTAAACTTCTTATCAATAGGATCACAAAGTGGTTTATATTGAAATCACAAGTTTCATGCTAACAAAATCATAGTATTGATATGCTCAGTCAACTAATCAAATGTATGAGTATGAGGACTTCTGAAATCCCAATTATGTGGTAAGTGTCAAGCAGCAAGGGCTAGATTAATTGAAACAGTCTTACTAAATAATAAAATGATAATAAGAAAAATTTCATAGCATATCAGTCTGGTGAAATACTTACCTTGTGTCCCACCTATTTCTGTTTCCGTTTTACACACTCTGATTTTTCATTTTGTTGCTATTTTTGCTCCTCTTGTAAATCAGTCTTCTTTCTTCTTGACAAACAAAAAACAAACTGCGAAAAGTAACATAACTGTCTGTAGAAAGCAACAGACTTACCTGTATTTTAGCACCACACCGTTGTCGCCACTGGATAGGAAGTACATATTCTCCCCAAGCCTGTCAGGCTTCAGCCACATCGAGTACAAAGCACCATGCCGACAAAGGTCAAGGTTGCCAAAACAGTCCGAGCGGCTTTCCCCAAAGTCAACAAAGTCTCGTCTGCCATCCAGCTTCAAGGCTCGGCCCACTTTGCCAGACACCTGCTGTGGTGAGCCATTCAGCGTGATGGTCAGAGAATCATCCACCAATCGATTACCGCGAACCTCTTCAAAGTCAAAATGGCGGTGCTGTGGGACACCTGGTGATGGAGGGGGGCAAAAAAAGGAATAATCAATCATCTGTGTACCAGATTATGCTAGATAGTTTTCTTAAATATTCAACAATAACAGTTGTGAATTATTCCCTTTAATTTCAGTTAGTTGCTCCAATCAAAACTTAATCAGCGATACACTGATGAAATTTACACCTGATATTTTTTTATTTAAATATTTATATTTCAAGGTTTGAAACCTTTCAAGCCTCTAAACTTTAATACTACTTCATCATATGTGAAACTGGAATGTATTAAGAAGGTATAAATTTCATATTCAACTCTTTGCACATTACTGCAGACAGTGAAAATGGTGAGCATTGTTAATATGTGTGCAACATAACAACACACTTTAAAATCAAGCATCAACTTACCCCTGTCAAGGTATCCAATTGAGGACAACATATCCCTGTCTCCATAGTAGACACTAAGCTCGTCGACAATGGCATTGGTGAGCTGTCCTCTACGACCACCTTCGTTGCTGCGACCAACAAAAGCATTCAGTTCCCTTGTCACTCGGGGCTCACGCTGGAAACTTTCTCTGGTCTGCCTGTCCACCTCTTGTCCATTGATGTAGAGCCTGAGTCCCATTCTCGCAGACCAGGTGGCTTCCACGTAGTACCAAGGTCCAGACTGGAGACGGTTGTAGTTAGCCTCCCACAGGCTACGTTCTCGCTGCAAATGATACCAGTGATTGATTATTTCAATTTTCCTGAAGTGTCAGACCCCAGCACTAAGTAAACCTGCAATTTACATGTTTCTGCATAAATAGACAGTATAAACATAACCTTCTAAGAAATATAAGGGACTAATAACAGGTTTGAACATATGACAATACATAATTTATCTAGGAAGAAAAAAACTGTACAAAATATGCAACTATTAAGAAGTAAGTTCTCATTAAGTAGTGACCTATTATAAAAAAATCTACAGATGTATTGACATACTGGTTGTATAAGTCAGAGTGGTTATTTAAAGGTTAAAAGACACTCTAGAAGTGTTTAGGCCTACCCTTTAATAACTAGGCCTACATAAGTTTTACTAATAAAACTAAAAATACTACAAGTAAAGGAAAGAAACAATGCTACTTCTTTTTCATATCAACATACAAAGGAAGCAGCCAACTACACACCTGAGCAGTAACAGTCAGCACATTGCCAGCTTGATAAATCTCAAACCCATGAGGAGTGCTGAAGATATACTCTTTAGCATTGTCCAAACGGTTGAATCTGCAATAGCACATAGGTAAAAAGTACATTATTCTCTATGCATATCAGTCTCAGTCATAAAGTAACGTTTTTTGTTTTGAATTTCTAGCCGAGATAAGACTCAAGTGACTGTGATAGGAAGCACGCCGATTGGTGGCTGAGTGCAAGAAATGACTATATCCACTTTTCACAGTCAAGAAAAACGAGTTTGAAATTTTGACAATTTTGAAATCTCTATTACATAGTTTTTAAAAAAATGTAAAAATTCTATACCAGATCAGCTTACGACTTAAATATTTACAGAGGTAAAAGAGCGGCTTAAAATCTCTCTACTCGTATCTATTACTCCATTTGGACCAAAAGTGGATGTTGTCACATCTCGCTCTCAGCCACCTATAAGTTGAATCCAATTTTTTTAAAGCATCACACTTAGACATTAAGAAAATATTTTTTTTTTAAAATTCTCTACATCAAAAAGCATTAGAAATATGAGGTTTAAACTAGATCTAGAGCCTGCTAATCCTAATAATTGTAGAGCACTTATCAAAATGAAAAAAATATAAAAGTTGTTTAACTAATAATTAGAGTTGCATGCAATACCAACCTGATGAAAAAGGCAACATAAAAACCATGCCTACACATGGTCAGATCTCCAAGACATTTGCCAGAAGCATCTCCGAGGTCCAAGTACTCTCCCCTGCCCATGAACCCAAGGCCATGGCGGATTTTAGCTGGGACATCTTGAGCTGGTCCAAACACTTTAGCATCTCCTCCAATCATGTCCACCTTGTCACCCCGCACCTCATCCAGGGAGAGGTAGAACATGTACACAGGACCTGTGCAAACAGAGAAATCACCGTGATCTCAAGTCTTGTAACCAAATGAGAAGCTGTTCATGTCGACATTTAATTGAGCCTCTATTCGTGATTACATCATGCACAAGATGTGTGTGTGTGTGTGTGTGTGTGTGTGTTTTTGTGTGTGAGAGAGAGAGAGTGAGAGAGAGACAGAGAGACAGAGAGATAAATAAGCAGAAAGAGAAAGAGATTGTGAAAGTAGGAATAATTGTGTGTGTATGCATACATGTGTATGTATGTTGTGTTGTGTGAACAAGAAACAAAGAGAGTGAGAGCACGAGAGAGAGAGAGAGTGAGAGAGAGAGAGAGAGAGAGAAAGAGAGAGAGAGAGAGAGAGAGAGAGAGAGAGAGAGAGAGAGAGAGAGAGAGTGTAACTCTAAGAAAAGTGAACAGTAACTTCTTGGAACATGCTATGATCAGATTTCATCTACCATGTACTTCTAGACTCTTGCATACAGGAAAATCCTTTTACAATTATAACAATAATTATAACAGCATTTATATAGAGCGTATTTATATATCCATGCTCAACAGTATGCCCAAGGCACTTTACTGTACATAACATCTTTTTTAACACTTTGCGGTCATTGGTGCAATAATGCGCCGTTGAAAATGATCCATTCCGGTCACCTGGCACAGTTTAGGCCCGAGAAGTCTGTTGCAGGCGTTCTCCTGGCTGGGTGACCAGATGGGGGTATTTTGTACTGCTGGCTGTGTGACTGCAAAGTAGTATAGGATTAATGCTTTGAGCAAGTTCTATAAGAAGATGAGTAGATAAGAAATGTATGGCTCACCTGCTTCACGGACATCCCCCTCTGACTTGAAGGTCGACATGAAGGAGAAATCATCCACCAGCATCGACCCCCAGCTGCCTGACCCAGACCGGTCATTGGAACGACCGATGACAAAGTCGTTGTTGCTGTCGTCAGCTCTTGCTTCTGTTGTACGGCGGGCCGTTCTGGTATGGGCAACTTGTACGCCATCCACATACATGTACAGACCTGAGGAACAATGGTAGAGGGAGATTTTCAGATTGATTATGATACACAAGCATTTTAAATTGTCTTCGTGAAGAAAAGCTGAGTTCTAAAAAAAACTATATATTAGATCTAATTTTTTTTCCAAGAAACTAGGAGTGTTTTTTAGATTTTAAAGCTACGCTCTTTGTCATATTAAAGAATAGAATGTTTATTTTTAAGAGGCTTAGTCTTTTTGGAGGTTCAGCTGATTAATGACTTCTCCGTCGCTATCACGGGACCACTTTTATAGTTCGTTTTTTCTGTACATAAAGGGACGCCATTCTTCTAAAAGTATCCAGGTTTATTTGCCTTATTTCCCCTACCTTATAGTCGACCAGGGAGAGGCCGATCAAAAGATAATGGAAGTAATGCAAGGCATGATTATGGAGAGAGAGAGAAAGAGAGAGAGAGAGAGAGAGA